ATAACCTTGCGACCCCCCTGCAACTCCCTTTTGGGTCAAGACCACCAACTTGAGAAACTCTGGTCTTCCACATTAAATCTGTATAGTATAGGGTAAAAGCACACAAAAGACCAGATTTCACCAGGGGGAGACCAGGGTTCATGGTCCATGACGCATTTTTCATGGCCATGAATTTGGCAGGGCCCTATTTATGGGAGTTAGGCACCTAAATACCTTTGAGGCTCTGGGTCACGGTGTTTGGGCCTTGATCTGTCCCCATCATCATTTATGACAGCATGTCATGGCACGATCATGCAACATAGAAATACAGAAATTGCCTTTTTGCATCAGATACGTGATCTGTTTAGGCCAGAATCTTGTCTTCAACACTAGTTAGTAACTAATACTTCAAAGGAAGGTGCAAGTAACCCAGTAGCAGACTTGCACTTGGAAATAACTTGCCAATGGGAGAAGTTTCTTCCTAATGTTCATCAGATAGTGGTTGATGCCCTGAGGCCTGAGATCCCTTATAATATTTTTATCCTTTCCAGTGTAACGTTGGCCGCGCTCTTTAGCCATATTAATGTCTAGTCCTTTTATCTAAATCCTGCTAAGCTCTGAATGTCACGCCGAATGACTTGACACCCAGGCTGGCATCAAGCTGCTGGCTCTGTGTTACTAAAATGATGACAAGTATGGGAAGATTCTCACAAGCTGCTCTGGAAGGTTCATACAGTATGTCAGACTCTGTAAACTTTACAATGGATAGTGCACTGGGAATGGAGGCAGGACATAAATCATTTCCCAGAGGGATGCTGTCATCAATTTGCCATTGAAAGAAGTTCCTCTAAAGCATGTACGGTAGGAAACAATCCTGTGCTAGTCCATAGGAGAGCCTGAGGGACTAATTAATACATCTCACCAGCCTCTTAATTTAGATCAGGGGTCAGCAACCTTTCAGAAGTGGTGTGCCGAGTCTTCATTTATTCACTCTAATCTAAGGTTTCGCATGCCAGTAATACATTTTAACGTTTTTAGAAGGGCTCTTTCTATAAGTCTATAATATATAACTAAACTATTGTTGTATGTAAAGTAAATAAGGTTTTTAAAATGTTTAAGAAACTTCATTTAAAATTAAATTAAAATGCAGAGCCCCTCGGACCGGTGGCCAGGACCCGGGCAGTGTGAGTGCCACTGAAAATCAGCTCGCTTGCCGCCTTCGGCACGCGTGCCATAGATAGGTTGCCTACCCCTGATTTAGATGATTCCTGCATATTGGAATTGGACCTGATGCACATGCGACATCTGGAGGATTTGAGCTGTAACTGCAGCAGTGGCACTGTAGTCTAATTACTGAGAAGTTTAGAAAATTTCCCTACCACACAAACAATGCAAACTAAAAGTGCATTCACCGGTGAGGACGGTTCCATGGAGTTCATTCCCCTAGCTGCTCTCTTTCTACATCTTGGGCAGTCTGATGTACTCTGTGCCACTTTCCAGTGCTTTTTGCAGCACAACTAAGGATAGAACAAGAAGCAATGGGTTTAAACTGCAGCAAGGGAGGTCTAGGTTGGACATTAGGAAAAAGTTCCTAACTGTCAGGGTGGTTAAACACTGGAATAAATTGCCTAGGGAGGTAGTGGAATCTCCATCTCTGGAGATATTTAAGACTAGGTTAGATAAATGTCTATCAGGGATGGTCTAGACAGTATTTGGTCCTGCCATGCGGGCAGGGGACTGGACTCGATGACCTCTCGAGGTCCCTTCCAGTCCTAGAATCTATCCCATCCTGATGTCTATCCCACCTTCCTAGATAAATAGACTCCAACAACAAGTGATTTCTGACTCCACAGGCCTCACTTTGGACATATCCACATTTCTCTGTTTTCCTATGGATTTTACACCTTTAATACAAATCTCTTTAAATGTTTGTGCTATTCAGTTCAATGGGGCGCTGTGTGAGCACTGGCCTCCACTTACACGAAGTAGCTTATAGTATTGGGGCCTAATAACAACACAGGAGCCTGCTAGCAAATGGTAAAAGGGATCTCTTTGGGGCCGAGCCACGCACCTTGCACAAGGGGGGTTGGGACTTAGGGAAGGACAAAATTTAAACTCAGTCAGGCTCAAGAGGGAAATAAGTGAGAAAAGAAAGCATGCCAATAAATCTCTGCAGAAACAGCAGCCAATTTGCCATCTGAGTGAGGTTCTTTCCATTTTCCCAAAGGCCTCCTGTCTCTGGGGGAAGTTGTGATGAATCTGAAAGCCGCAGCTAAAGACCTTGGGTGGGTGCTAATGGAGGGGGAGGGGCTATGGGTTTTTACCTGGCTCTGCAGAAATTGTAATGTGGAGGTCTGTCCAATCCCACCTGCCTGCAAGGTATAAAGAGATGAGCCTGAGAAAACATAGCTGCCTTATTGCTTGCTGGAAACCAATTAGCATGGGTGCAGTGTTGGTTTCCTTTGGGACTAGTGTGCTTCTGGGTATTCTATTGCCCTATTTCTCTGATTTTGGGGGTTCAGGGTGATGGGAGGGATCAGGGGATTTTAGAGGACCTTAGCTTGCAGGTCTGTGGCCAGAGAATCAGAGAATCATAGGACTGGAAAGGAGATAATCTAGTCCAGTCCCCTGCACTCATGGCAGGACTAAGTATTATCTAGACCATCCCTAACAGGGGTTTGTCTAACCTGCCCTTAAAAATCTCCAATGATGGAGGTTCCACAACCTCCCTTGGCAATTTATTCCAGTGCTTAACCACCCTGACAGGAAGTTTTTCCTAATGTCCAACCTTAACCTCCATTGCTGCAATTTAAGCCCATTGCTTCTTGTCCTATCCTCAGAGGTTAAGAAAAACAGCTTTTCTCTCTCCTCCTTGTAATAGCCTTTTACGTACTTGAAAACTGTTATCATGTCCCCCCCTTAGTCTTCTCTTTTCCAGACTAAACAAACCCAATTTTTTCAACTTTCCCTCATAGGTCATATTTTCTAGACCTTTAATCATTTTTGTTGCTCTTCTCTGGATTCTCTCTAGTTTGTCCACATCCTTCCTGAAATGTGGCGCGCAGAGCTAGACACAATATTCCAGTTGAGGCCTAATCAGGGCGGAGTAGAGCGGAAGAGCTACTTCTCGTGTCTTGCTTACAACACTCCTGCTAATACATCCTGGAATGATGTTTGCTTTTTTTGCAACAGTGTTACACTTTTGACTCATATTTAACTTGTGGCCCACTATGACCCCCAGATCCCTTTTCACAGTACTCCTTCCTAAACATACCAGAAATAGTCCATTTTCCATGTGGGCCATTGGTAAGCCTTCCAAACCTTCAGCAAGGAGTGGGGCCCCAAGGCCAAAAGTTCTGTTTGCCAAATCTAAAAGATGACCCTGAGTCTACTTAAACCCAGCCTTTTTTACCAAATGTCTTGTTTTGTCTCCCTGCCTCCTGAAAACAGGAAAAACCTTCCTGCTGCCTATTATCCAAGAGGTCAAGCTTCAAAGCCAACCTTGGGGTTTTGCATTAATTGCACCCATGTGATACAAAGAGCTATATATCGGGGGTAGCTGTGTTAGTCTGTATCCACAAAAACAACAAGGAGTCTGGTGGCATCTTAAAGACTAACAGATTTATTTGGGCATACGCTTTTGTGGGTTAAAAACCTCACTTCTTCAGATGCAACTGAAGGTTTTTTACCCACGAAAGCTTATGCCCAAATAAAAGAGCTATGGATATTCCACAGCTCATACTGTCTGGCCTATCATCGTAGAATGGCTTTTTGATTTTTTCCCATGCTTTCAATGTAAAATACAATCTAGTCCCCAGAGATACTGTATGTGGCTGCAGTATCTGTCTAGGGTTGCCAGGTATCCGGCTTTCGACTGGAATGCCCGATCGAAAAGGAACCCTAGCGGCTCTGGTTGGTGCTGCCGACTGGGCCGTTAAAAGTCCAGTGAGCAGCGCAGCGGGGGCCTGGGGCTAAGGCAGGCTCCCTGCCTGTCCTGGCTATGCGTTGCCCACGGAAGTGACCGCCAGGTCCCTGCAGCCCCTAGGCGCTGGGGTGGCCAGGGACTGGGAGGCTCTGCACGCTGCCCCTGCCCCCAGCTCCAGCTCTGCAGCTCCCATTGGCTGGGAACCACAACCACTGGGAGCTGCAGGAGGTGGCGCCTGCGAAGGCAGCGCGCACTGTGCAGCACCGCTTGGCCACCCAACCCTGCACCCCAACCTCCTGCCACAGCCCAGTGAAAGTGAGTGAGGGTAGGGAACAGTGAGCAACGGAAGGAGAGGAGTGGAGCGAGTGGGAGGCAAGTCTCGGAGAAGGGGCGAGGCAGGGCTGTTCGGTTTTGTGTGATTAGAAGTTGGAAACCCTATCTGTCACAGCTAGCTCTGGGGGAAACAGTGTCAGCGACCGGCACACACACATATATGGGGGGAGGGATAGCTCAGTGGTTTGAGCATTGGCCTGCTAAACCCAGGGTTATGAGTTCAATCCTTGACGGGGCCACTTAGGAATCTGGGGCAAAATCAGTACTTGGTCCTGCTAGTGAAGGCAGGGGGCTGGACTCAATGACCTTTCAGGGTCCCTTACAGTTCTAGGAGATGGGGAAAAAAAATACACACACTCCTGAGCAATTTGTGTCACGCTCCTATGGAGCTGTGAATTTAGTGCCAGAGGAATGGTGCAGTTGACATATATGGTGAGTGTAGCTGTAGGGAAGGGTTGGGCTAATGCACACTGTCAGAGAGGATGTTGATTCCAGAGAGGGGGGGAAGGTTTTAGTACAGTAATGCCTGAGGCAGGGGGTAGCCAATAGGCAGACCACAGGCCAAATCTGCACCTCCAGATGCTTTTAAAAGGACCTTGGAATCTTTTTATTTACTAATTATTATCAGATTTTTTTAAATTATTTTCTCTGGGGGCTGGACCTTGACCAAAAATAATTGACTGACTGTCCCTGGCTAGCGGTGAGTGGGCTGGTGTTTTGGAGCTGGTTCCAGGGGGAAGGGATCAGCTGACGCACACAGCAAGCCGGGCTATTGATTCAGGGGAAGGGTTTGAGTGATGCACAGGGTGATCAGGGTTGTTGGTTCCGGGTGAGGGGGGCCGTGTCGGTGCCATACCATCGTGCTGCGCGCCGAGGGCCGGTTCTGGTATGTCCGCGCTAGGCCCCGGGCTACGGGGAGTGCGGGCGGAGCCGGACTCGGCCGGGGACCGGCCGGGCTCAGCAGTGGGCGGGGCGGCGGGTATTTCGGTCTGAGCGCCCGCTGCTTTCAGCCCTGCGCCGGGCGGGCCCCCGATCGAGCCGTTCCAACCCCCGCCAGGGCCGCGCTGCCAGCGCCGGGGGCTGCGGCCGGGGGGCCGCGCTGGGCCGCTTGTGCTGGCTGCTCCCGAGCCGCGCGGTCCCGTCCTGATACGCTCTGGCGCTTTCCCCCGTTTTCTTGTAGCTACGATAGCCGGGCCGGCAGGGAGACTCTCCGTGCCGAAGGAGAGGTCTGCAGGAGGAAGTTGTTGGAAAACAGGCCTCATAATGGAAACTGTTGCAATTTCAACCTTGCTATAATTGCTGCCACCTAGGATAACTGGAAAAGTAATGACACCGTTCAAAAGTTGCCTAAGTATTTCCAATCTGATTTCGGTAAATAAAACGCTTTTGCGATGTTTTGTTTTTTAATACCTCTTAACAGAAAATTGCACTGTGCAGGCGCAGTATAACAACTTTTTTTAGTGGTTTTAATCACCATTTAATCACCATTAAGCCTGAAGGTGTGTAAGGACTGAGCTAACGGGTTCCATATCTTGTAGCCCAAATGGAGGGGCGTCCAGTGGCATCAAACGCTTTTTCTGTTTATTTAAAACCAAAAATGTTTCAGAAAAAAATGTAAAGAGAACATTAATATTCTATGGTTTAAACACCTAAAATTCAAGATAGGCTAGTTATCTGGGCTCCTCATGCAATCCTAACTCTGCCCCTTGTGTGTGTGCGTTTCAATATAAGTTTTAATTACACGATATTATGTAATAAAGTTGACATGGTTGTAGAAAAATTGTCTATTTTGGGGAGATGTGCATTACATGAGGCAGCACTTGTTTTTTCTTGATCCTCAGAGGTTTCAGGCAGTCTGTCTCCTGGTGACTCTTAGGACTCCTGTTCTGGGAAAGTGCATCTGTTTGTGTTAATCAGCATTTAGACAGTAGTGATTTTCCTCAGCCACTAGGGTGAATTGAGTGTGTGAATCCTTGGTTGTAAGCGAGATGGGGGTCACAATTTTTAATATCAATTCAAAAATTATAGCTACACAAACTCATTATGGGGTCATCTTGTCCTTATTTCTACTTTATTTCTCTCCTAGACTGGCCTTTGGGGGTGTTGAAGAAAAAAATAATGTTGTTCAACATAGTGTAAGCTGTTCGGAAGAAAAGTGGAGAATTTGATGTAAGTTTTATATTTCTGCTTCTGCATAATGATCTATGAGATTAGAAGTGTGTGACTGTATAATGTCTCTCATTGGCAAGGGGGAGGGATAGCTCAGTGGTTTGAGCATTGGCCTGCTAAACCCAGGGTTGTGAGTTCAGCCCTTGAGGGGGGCCACTTAGGGATCGGGGGCAAAATCCATACTTGGTTCTGTTAGTGAAGGCAGGTGGGGATTGGACTCAATGACCTTTCAGGGTCCCTTCCAGTTCTATGAGATAGGTATATCTCCATATATTATTATTATTAAAACATTCCTGGTCTACAATGTTAAATTAAGCCAAATGCTTATTTTATTAGACTTCTCTAAATATAATGTGAATTAGAAGCACAATGCTTAACATGTGCATAGTGCTTTCCATCTTTAAAACATTGAACAAATATTAAGGCTCACACCCCCTTTAAAGTTGGTACTGCAGATATGACTTATCCTCATATTTGCAGATGGGAAACTGAAGCAAAGAGATGCAGTGACTTGCTCAAGGTCACTCACTGAGAGTATGTTTAAACTATGGAGACTGCATGGACGCAGCTGTGGCGCTGTAGCTATGCTGGCATAATCCCATAGCATAGATGCAGCCTACACTGATGAAAGGGTTTTTTTTGTTGTCATAAGAATACCACCTCCCCAAGCGACAATATGTGCATCTTCACTGGGGTTTAGGTTGGCGTAGCTATGGCATTTAGGGGTGTGCATTTTTCACAGCCTTAATTTTAAGTGTAGACCTGGCCTTAGTTCATGGCAGAGCCAGAAATAGAACCCAGGAGTTCTGGCCTTTTGGCCCCCAGGCTCATTCTACATTAATCAAAATGTAGAACTTGGATTATTTTACCAAAATTGATTTTTGGTTTCTGAGTGACAATTCATACAAAGGTAACTATTTTTCATAAAACCCAGCCATTTGTGAGTTCTTGAGTCTCTGAGTTAAAGTGGGTGAAAGGAAGGGTGTCTTTATTTGTAAACATTTTGTAAGTTATATTTGTTTTTTTAAAGTGAGTTAAATGACAAATGTTACCTGTCACTTCATTTACAACCCCAAGCACTTAAGAATGAAGAAATTAATAGCTGCAAAATATTGTAAATCTTGCTCCTACACATATGAGAAAATAAATATTATTTTCAAATACAAAGAAATGCATGTTTCATTATAACACATCAACTTGAAGTCTGGCTTGTTTGATTAATGCATTTAAAAATATTTTGATAAGTACTTTCTTCAGATTCCATTAAATGAGAACTTGTTTTCTTTATCAATTGCCATCAATATTTTTGGGTGAGGTGTCTCTAATTTTTGGTTCATGAGAATGATGTATGTAGCTTAATAGGAAAAGTGTGTTCTGTGTTTGTACAGGGCCTAGCCCAATAAGGCCCTGGTCCACGACAGGGGCTCCTAGGTGCTACAGAATTACAAATAAGTAATAAAACAGTATTGACTTACAATAAAAGTAAGAATGCATGTGGACTTGCATTTGAGACTGATTAATGTGTTACTGATGCCTTTCTTTTTCAGACATGTTTATATTTTGAGACTCCTGATGAAAGAATATTGATTATTGCATTGGAGCCAAGGTAGTTGTGATATGTCGAAATAGATATTTATCATATTTAATAAACACGTTACACTCAAGTGGGCAGCATAAGATTGGATAATCTCTAGACTAGTAAATATTGTTTTTAAGGGCTTTGGTGTAGTAAGTGATGTAACAGGTGTGTACAGTGTTGTCACGTTGTACCTTTTACTGTGTTTTGTTTTTGTTTTTAAATGAGATGTTATGTTTTTGCATCTCTTGGGGTGCGTTTTAATATCTTCCAGTTTTTTATTTTTCTTGTAGTAAATGAACATAATTTTTAAATAAATGGGAAGGAGAAACATGGGACTTTTTTCCTAGTCCTGAAAGATGCTGTGAAAAAAAGGGAACCAAACACCTTCACCATCTCATGACTGTCTTGAGCAACTGCAATATAAACCTGAGGTTCTTACTATTTTTCTTTCCTAGTGCATCGATTTTCACCCCATCTTATTCCTCCCTTCCATCTCTCTCTTTCTTTAATGTCTTAATCTGCCAGGACAAATCTACCTTTCCAACACTCTACAATGTCGCTGTTGTGAGGTGGGGAAATCCTCCTCCCTTTGAATCATTGGTTGCTAGATGTCAATGATTGGGCTTTCCATTATCTTCTCGGAATTTCCATTGATATGGATCAGCTTTGGCCAGTATTCTTAATGACCCGCTCAGACAGCAAAGTGACACACAAGCCTTGATGTCTCTTAATCTGTCCTGAGAGCAAACTGAGGGCTTGTCTACACTGGCAAATAACAGTGCTGCAACTGTCTCACTCAGGGATGTGAAAAAACATCCCTCCGCTGTACAGCGCCAGTGTAAACAGTGCCCCAGTGCTGGGAGCTACGCCCCTCGTTGAGGTGGGGTTTTTTTAGAGCTTTGGGAGAGCTCTCTCCCAGCACTGCTCTGCGACCACACAAGGCATGTTAAAGCACTGCCCGTGTAGACTAGCCCTTAATTCCTCCCCTGCCCCCCCACTGGGTATGTGCAAAGTATGTGGGGAAAATGAGGCACATATAGGATTAACAGAAATATTACAGAAAATTACCACTTTGTCACAAGGCTTTGAGACTCTCAGTCCTGAGCTAGGAACCTGTTGAGTGGAACCTACTGGCTTTCAACAAAATTTCAACTGAAATCATGAGAATCATATGCATTTCTTAAGGATTAAATTTTGTAGTTTATAGTCTGGAGTGGTCTCTTGTGTGTGTTTGTTTGTTTGTTTTGTTTTTAATAACTTTCTATCTAGATAGAGACCCTTGTGTAGGAGCACCTCACCCTGATTCAGTGACCTACTGTGAGTTAAACAGTGTTGGTAGGAGTCTGTTCCACTTGCCTAAAACTACTGCTGCTGTGGAATATAATCCAAATTTTGAGCTGAATATGAACTATCATAGGATCAAATTAATTCATTGTTTACTTTATTTCCAACCATAAATTCCCAAGTGGATTTTCTTTCAGTCTGCATCCTATCCATAAATCCCATTCATTGCCACACTGGCTGAAGCCCAACTCACCTGCATTCAAAGTAATTTTTTGCAGTTCCTTACCCTTTTCTAAGTCAGCTGAAAATTGTCAGACTGCTACAAAATCTCCTCTCAGGTAGGGCATAGGAGGTTTTGTGGCTTTTGTATTTTGAATCTTGCAACGGTGGGCCTGGTTAGCCATGAAAGTCACTCAATGTATTTTGTGTTCAGGAGGGAATTATAATGGCAAGGTCTGAGTTATCAGCTATTCACAGCAAACTTATATATTTTGTGACCTCTTGTTATGTTTTAGTGCTGTCTTGCCCTGGCTAAGGGTGTCTTATCAACGGATCATGTCCTGATTTTGCCGGTTGCAGGTAGGGTTATAGCACAGCAGTGTAAGAATACAACCTCAACTGCTTTGAAAGGGGACAAGTCACATTTAAACCTAAGCATAGGCAAACTCCCCTCTTCTTTTTTTCCTTCTTGGCATTCCACATGGTAGATAAAAATTCCGTGAGCAGTAGATGGGGAACAGGACAAAAGTAAAACCCCTGTGACCACTTAAATGGCCACTTGAATATGCTAATTTTTCCTGTTACAGCAAGTGCACAGAGCTGAGTTTGTTGAAGGACAATGACAATAGACAAGAACATTTATTGGGAGCTTCATATAATTCAGGAGGCTTTCCTCTCTATTTGGGGTACTGAGATATACAGCACGTACTTTTAAGCTTTTCTGCCTGACCAAATCTTTGGTCAGTGTTCACAAACATGGATGGTCAGTGACCAGTTTCTGCTGAACTGATTATGGAAGGGTGCATTGTGGTGGTTTTCTGCCTGGCGGATCTGTGACAGTGTCAGAGCAGCCTCAACCTACCACAAAGAGTATAAAGGAGAAGGACAGTCATGAAAACATTTCCAGAACTTTTCGTTTTCAGTTAGTCTTCCAGCTCCTACAAGGCAGACCTGCCTCATAAGTTTAAGTCTGTAGAGACAGGTGATCATCTGTCTCACATGATGACAGACAGTACTGAGGGGTGTGCAAACCTCCGTGATGGATTTATTGCCTTATCTAGAAGAATAGTATGCTTTGTGTCTTTTTCTTATTGTGTCATCCATCTCCAGGTGATTCCTGTACCACTCACTGTTGTGCTACTGAAGACATTAAAGAGTCTTCTATTGTACAAGTGCAAAAACAACAGATCGAATTACTAGAAATCCCAGAGCACTCTGATATCACGCAAGTATGAAACAAGATTTTCACTTCTCATTTATTTAACCTTAATCCATTCTGGTTTGTCATTTCATCAAAAAGTATCCTTACATGACCAGCATTTAGCTGTAGGCAGTTGTTGTAATAGACGATACTGTAGGCCTGATTTTCAGAGATGCTGAGTACTTACTCATCCAGGTGAAGACGTTGTGAGCTGCAAGTGCACTGCATCTTTGAACACTAAGCCCTGTATCAATAATTGCTGTAGGTAGATGTTTTGATGTAGCATTTAATGAAACATTGCTTGTATGACCTCCTATTCCTTTTATTTGAATAAAATCCCAGAGATTCCCATAGGTAGGTGCAGTTTTCTCAGCGGTTTTCTTAACGATTTAATTCATAAAAACACCCTTTATGTTTTGTAGATTAGTCATCTTTCTGTAAATAAAGCTCAGAAGCCTGGGGAAGTCAGAAATGTCTGAGGTGAGGGGGATATAAGAAATAAGTCTTCGTCTGGTGTGCCAGTCATGTGCACAAGGTCAGCTGAATTTGTTGCTGGAAGAGCAGGTGCTCCATTTGCTCCAGTGGACTCATACTAGTTTATGCCAGCAGACAGGCTTTTTGGTGCACTTGCCTGGATAGAGTTTAGAAAGCTCCTGCCCTTGTTGTTTGATCAATAAGTAATAACTAACAGTAGTGTAGCTTGCTGTGTCCTTTAAACCCGTTACTCCTTGGAAATCTGCAGCAGAAGTAGGCACAAGCCAAAAATTAGGTCCATGCTTTTTCTTTTAATTTGGACACACACTGGTTTACCTTCATGCAAGCTGCCTGGTCAGCACTACACAGAAAAGCCTGACTTCAAGCAAGGCTGAAGTCTGGCTCAGAGAAAGCTCCTGTGAGGAAATGGGAACAAAAATATTTAACTTCGTAAAGGAGCTAGATGCCATGAATAAAACCAGACTTGCTTTGCACAGTGAGTATTAACACCTCTTCAGTACAGGAAGGGCCAGATCATACCTCATGATCCTGAGGAGTTGACTGGATAGCTTCTGGGCAATGGCACAGATGTGTTTGTAAAATGCAAAAGTTTAATAATACCCTCTGTGCATTGGGAAGTATAAGGGCTTGATTTTCAGCAGGCTTGGATGTGCAAATAATGTTTATATGTTGAAACCAAACTAAAATAATAATTAAAGATGCTTCATGCTGGGATGTGTAAAACTCAACTAAACTGAGACAAAAACAGCATTAGCCAGACCAACTGCCTTGCTGTGTACAAAACCAGACATCAGCATGAAATGAACTCCTCTGTCCTTGGATCCTGCAGAACCCCTAACACTACAACTGCTTTACAAACTCAGCATTCTCCAAATGCTTTTCACCATGTACTAATGGTGAGCATATTCAGTCAGTTTCAGTCGAGGGAATGAATTTCTAAGTTGAGGGCCCTGTTCTACTAGCAGCATCCTCTCTGGTAAACCAAGGAGGCTGTACTTTGAGCACGTTCATTGATCTTGTGTCAGCAGCTCACAAGGGCAAAGGCATCTGAGGCAGGCAGGCAAGCCTTAGGCCATCTAGAGCTTTATAGGCCAAAATAGACACCTGAAACTCCACCCAGCCACCAATAAGCAGCTGGTGCAGATCACAGAACACTGGTGGAAGGAGCTCCTGGCAAGTTACCCTATTTATTCTTCAGCAACTTTAGTTTCCAAATGGATTTAAGGTACTATAGCCCCATGCTGCACTAGTGAATGATGAAGGTCTGCATGACAGAGGCCACCCAAATTGGGTTTGACACACATAGTAGGCTAGCTGTGTGCATGCAGAAAGTGGGGGTGTGCATGCAATATATTCATGTTCATATGTGCCTAGGAATGTACTGAAAAACAGGACCAGTGAGTTGGTAACAAATTTCAGACATGCACAGTTTTCCCTGTGGTGTTTTATAAATTCACCATCACCATCATCAAATGTGCACAATATACTGAGGGCCATTGCACAGCTGGAGTGACCATAGAATCATAGAACTGGAAGGGGCCTTGAGAGGTCATGTAGTCCAATCCCTGCACTCAAGGCAGGACTAAGTATTATCTAGACCATCCCTGACAGGTGTTTGTCCAACCTGCTCTTAAAAATCCCCAAGGATGGAGATACCACAACCTCTCTAGGCAATTTATTCCAGTGCTTAATCACTCTGACAGGAAGTTTTGGATGATGGCATTGTACCAGACATTGTAGAGTGAAGTTCCCAGATCTCACTCAATTCTGAGAATCCACGAATCTCTGGGCTGTCCCGCAAGCAATGCCAGGTAGGGTCAAGTTACATCAGTGGAGAGTTTGCGAGCACAATGAGCTGGGATGTTTTTGGCCATCTTGGCAACATGGCCAAAGAGCAAGCAATTGGAGGAAGGCCAAATCTTGCTCAAAGTTGAACCATTTTATGCCCAGCATTTGATGCTGACAGCACACATAGAATGCCTCTAGCTGCTCCAAGTCTGCTTGTAGGAGGGTCCAGGTTTTTGACCCATATAGCCGTGCAGGCAGTACACAGGTTTGATAGATCCTGAACTTTGTCTTAATGCAGAAATATTTTTGCATCCATAGGCGAGACATAGACTTCATTCAAGAGGCAATGAGACCTATTCTTCAGTGGATGTCCAGTTTGCTGCAACTGTTTGAACTCGTCCCCACCTGCACCAGGGGTTCTGGTGTCCCAGCTCTGAGGCCTGGTCTACACTACAGAGTTTGTTTGTTTGCAAGGCAGCTTACGTTGACCTAATTCTGTAAGCGTCTACACTAAAATGTTGCTCCCGCCGATGTAACTTGCCCTCTCCGCCCACTTAGTAACTCCACCTCCACGAGAGGCATGGTGCTTAGGTCAACATAGTTTGGTTGACACAATATCAGTGACACTGCATTACTTATGTCTACTTTAGTGGCTTCCAGGAGGTGTCCCACGATGCCCCAGCATAACTGCTCTGGTCACCTTTTAGAACTCCGCTGCCTGGCAGTCAGGTATGCATGTACATGTCCCTCCCCCTTTAAAGCCCCACCAATTTTAAATTCTATTTCATGTATGGTTGGTATAGAGAGCTCAAATAGCAACTGCCCAGCTGACCATGTTGGCGCCACGCAGCAAAGGTGCTCTTGCCAGGAGTACACAGCAGGTGGTGGATCTCCATGGTCTGTGGGGAGAAGAGGCTGTGCAGGCACAGGTCTGATCCATCTGTAGAAACGTTGACATCTATGGCCAGATCGCTGGGGGCATGGCGGAGAAGGGCTACAACCAGCACATGCAGCAGTGCCATGTAAAAATCAAGGAGTTGCTGCAGGTGTACCAGAAGGTAAGGGAGGCAGACTGTCACTCTGGTGTGGAACTGCAGACAGGCTGGTTCTACACGGAGCTGCAAGCCTTCCTTGGGGGAGACCACCACCACAAGCCCCGTGGATATTTCAGGGGAGCTGGAAGCAGCGGCCCCTGCAGTGCACACTGAGGAGGAGGTGATGCACGAGGAGTAGTAGTTTTGGAGGACAGGCGACTGGGGGAATGCAGTGGTGCAGTGAGCCAGGACCTCTTTCTGACCGCCGGAGAGTCCCTACTATCCAGCACCGGCGAGCCTGATGCAGGGGATGGAACCTCTAGTAAGTATGCTGTTTGTTTTGATTTTGCAGGGACACCTGTTCATTTACTCTTTTTTTAATCAGGCAAGAAGAGATAGCAACTCTACCTCTACTGGTTATTTCACTGTCTGCCTCTCATTCCCCTGTACAGCTAGGCAGAGGGGGCCCTGTGGAACAGTTTGTTTTTGTGCATTGGGATGTCCCGGGAATCCTCCATAGAGATCTCAAGAAAACTTTCCTGGAGGAAGTCTGCAGTCCTCTGCTGAAGGTTTCTGGGGAGGACAGCTTTATTTCTTCCACTGCAGTAGGACACTTTCTCACACCAGTGAGCAATTACATCAGCAGGCACCAATGCAGCACACAGGCTAGTAGCATATGGATCCAGTCTCCAGCCAGACTCGTTCAGGAGCTGTTCTCTTTCAGCCTCTGTTACCCTTGGGAGTGAGATATCAGCTAAAATTACCACCGCCTGTGGAAAACAGTGCCAGTATTCCATTCAGTTGCCCTATCGACATATACTGATGCCCATGTGCTCACCCCTATTATTGTCCAAAATCGCCCACTTATTCCCCCGGGGCATAATCATCATGGCTAAGGCTATGTTTTAGTCACGGGTATTTTTAGTAAAAGTCATGGACAGGTCACGGGCCATAAACAAAAATTCACGGCCTGTGACCTGTCCATGACTTTTACTAAAAATACCCGCCCTGACTAAAACTTGGGTGGGTGGCCATGGGTGCTCTGGGAGGGGCGGTCCAGGGGCGCTGCTGGAAGTGGCCCGGGACCCGTGCTTGGGGGTGGGTGGGTTGGCGGGGCTGGGAGGGGCTTCCTACCCTGCTTCGTGTCCCTAGGTGGTGGAGGCAGGGGCCCCTCTGCTCCCGCCACAAGCACCGGCTGCCGCAGCCCCATTGGTTGGGAACCGCAGCCAATGGGAGCTGTGGGGGTGGGGCCTGCAGGCAGCATGTGGTGTGGATCACCCTGCCCCTCGGCAGCCTAGGAGCTGCAAGGGGGCCATGTCAGTGGGAGCCAGGGAGCCTCCCACCCCAAGGTAAGTGCCCCTCCCCCCCACACTCCCCCTGCCCCTAGCCCTCGAGCCCCCTCCCACACACCCAAACTGCTGCTGTTGGCCCAGGGGCTGCCCAGCTTGGGCAGTCCCTGAGCCAGCACCAGCCGCTGCAGAAGTCATGGAGGTCACGGAATCCGTGACCTTTATGACGGACTCGCAGCCTTAATCATGGCTGGGACTGCTGCCGTGCTCTATGAATCCCAAGAGAGCATGTAGTGCTTGTAACTTATGTGGATCAAGGGGAGTGAAAACACTCACAAAAGTACCTCTATGCATTGTGCTTTTTGCAGCTGGAAATGTGGCCTTGAGGGTCTCTCCATCCACACCACTGGAGTGGCTCAGATGATGAGAAGAAAGGGGATGAGGGACATGTTCCACGAGATCCTGCAAGCCTCTGGTGTTGCACATACCGAGCAGAGGGCTTGGAGGAGCACCCTTGTGGACAGAATGGAAAGGGATAGTGCAGAGAGGAGAAACACAGAGGAAAAGGACAGACACATGCAGCAAGTCATGTTAGCGCTTCTCAAGCACCAGATGGACATGCTGGAGATTCTTATAGACCTGCAGGTCCAAGTAATCCTTGCTTGCCTCCTGCTGCAGTCTATCGATAACTGCATTCTGGGACCTCCCTATGCTCCCTGCCCCTACATTCCACATATGTTTCATGGCCACTGCATTACCCCTACCACTCCACCCCGAGGGAGAGTACACACAATCAGAGCTGCACGTACACTGACCTATGAGAGAGACAGTTGGTGTATTTGTGTTTGAAATGAGAATGACTGTTCTTTCCCCGTCAAAGGTTCTTTTCCCTGTATTTATATAGTTTCATTCAGTTACAGTTATTTTTGTTTGCATGAGTTTGGAATAAAAGTCTATTTATGGAAACTTAATTAATCTTTAATAGTTCACAACATGTGGTAGCTGGGACTGACATCCTTCAAAGATAATAGCAATAGGTGCACTTGCAATGTGTTATTACCACACACACAGCACTCATAAGGTTCAGACCAGAATGCTAGAAAACAATGCCAAGCAGAGAACACTACAAGAACACTCATTACTGTGCCTCACTTTTGAAATGGTCTTTCAAAGCCTCTCTGAGCTGTAAAGCTCCCTGTTGAGCTCTTCTTATAGCTCTGGTATCTGGCTGCTCAAAATCAGCAGCCAGATGTTCCACCTCCATATTCCACCTTGGCAGAAGCTTTCCCCTTTTGCTTCACAAATATTATGAAGCGCGCAGCAAGCAGCTATAATCCTGGGGATATTTTTTTTTCATGAAAGTCCAATCCCGTGAGTAGACAGCGACGATTCAAACAGCCAAAAGCACCTTCAACAGTCCTGCACCTGCTGAGCCTGTAGTTGAAGCGCTCCTTGCTGCTGTCAAGGTGGCTGGTGTAAGGTTTCATGAGCGATGGGAGTAACGGGTAGGCTGGGTCTCCAAGGATCACTATTGGCATTTCCATATCCTCAATGGTAATCCTCCGGTCTAGAAAGGAAGTCCCTGCTTGCATCTTTCTGAACATCTTTCTGTGTCTTTAAAGATGCGCAGGTCATGCACCTTCCCTGATCAGCCCAGGTTGATGTCAGTAAAACATCCCTGGTGATCCACCAGTGCTTGCAATACCATAGAAAAGTAGTCCATTCTGTTGATGTACTCCTTGGCAAGGTGGTCTGGTGCCAAAATAGGGAGATGTGTGCCAGCTATTGCCCCCATTGGAATTTAGAAACCCCACTGCTGCAAAACATTCAAAAGGTCCTGCATGTTGCCAAGAGGACACAATTAATGGCCTTGCACACTTGCATCACAGCAACCCCCCGGTAGATTTCCCAACTCCAAATTAATTCCTGACTGATTGGTAGCAATCTGGCATGGCCAGCTTTCACACAGTGATTGCCACTCGCTTCTCCAGCATGAGTGTAGCTCTCATTTTCATGTTGCTGCACTGGAGGGCTGGGGCGAGCTTCGTGCACCATTCCATTAATGTGGCCTTGTACATCCAAAAGTTCTGCAGCAATTTCTCGTCATCCCAAACCTGCATAATGATGCAATTGTGACAGAATCCAGAGGTCCGGTGCTCTCGCACGGCTGTGGAACAGCCCCTAGGAGGACCCCTTCAGTATGTTACCCCGTGTGATGGGGCAGAGCGGCCCTGTACTGATACCGTGGGAGTTAACCCTTCCATCCTTGCAGAGGAAGCCACGTCCCGGAAGCTCTGCTGGGCATGCTCCAACTGGAGATCAGGTATAAAAGCCTGCAGATCAGTTCAGTCTGGGCTGACCACTGGAGGAGGAGGACGCACGCTGCTAGTTCCTGAAGAGAGAGAGCCTGCGCGCCAGGATCCAGCCAAGCTGAGGCACTACCTGAGACCCCAATGGGGGACGTCACGGGAGAAACAGACCGGAGGACCCCCCACCCCAGATGAACTGGTATTCATGGTAGGAAGTGACCCAGGGGAACTCTAGAGACAAACAGCGTTAGAGCTGTGGTGACACTTGGCGTGTTGCAGCTGGATCTTCGCCAAGCGTGGGGCAAGGAGAGCTTGCCGCTACCTGGGTCGGGGCTCAGTGGAGAGGGCGGGCCTGAGTCCCCCCACCCCCTCACCGTGAGGGATCTTAGATGGCCGCGAGGCCGCGCTACCCCGCTCATAAGGGGGTTTATATGGACTCTGACCGCGAGGCTGCGCTATTGTGCCAGACGGGTGATAGTAGAGAGGAAGGCCAAGAGGCCGTCACTGACCGCCCACAGAGAAGCGGACGTAATGACTCGGGAGTGGTGAGGCGCCAGCACCCCATCCTACCTCTGCCACAAAGGGAGCAATGCACCCTTAAATTCCTTAATCAGGAGTGACTCTCAGACAGTATTGTAAAAAGCAGAAGGATTTATTAGATGTCTGGAACACAGTGTAGAAAGTCTGTGGTGAGCAAGAGAACAGAAAGTTACAGCAAAGTCCATCTGGGTCAGTCCTGAGCCCCGAGCTCTCTCTGACCTCCCTTGAATGCCAGTCCAGAAGAAATGTGCTGCTTCTAAGCGCATTGTGTTCATAACGGTCAGCACAATACTGAAAAGCAGTGCAGGATCCATGCTTGTGTCAGAGATTGTGTATGTGCAGGTTTGTGAGGCTTTTGAAAAGATGTGTGAAACATAATGGGATACAAATGATAATATGGGATGGAGAAAACTGCATCATGGGATGTTGAAACCATGTTCCTTGTCACCCCTGCATGACTTGTTTGCCCCCATGAGGCTTTGCAAACCCTTCCCAAAACACTCTGCACCAGATGGTGAGCTACCCATAGTGCACTGCTCTCTGCTTCGATGCAAGCGCTGCTAGTGAGGACGCACACTGCCGACACAAGGAGTGTAGTGTGGATGTGGAAAAGTGATTTTAATTACTGTGGCAGCTATATGTTGACATAACTTTGGTTGACCTAATTTTGTGGTGTAGACATGCTTTGAGGTTTTTGAACCTTGGTCTTCTGCCATGAGATGTTTTAATCCCATAGTGCTGGTGGCATCTTGAAAACTTTGAAGGGCACGGACTAACCTCCCCGAGCCCAGGGTTCAGAGGTGCTGACTTTTTCTAATTACCCTGGGGGTGCTTGACCTCTGCCCCAGCCCCCCCAAGGCTCCGCCCTTGCTCTGTCCCCGCCCCTTCCCACCCCTGCTCTGCCTCTTCCCACCCCATTCTGCCCCCTCCCCTGAGCATGCCCCACTCTCGCTCCGCCACTTCCTGACCCCACTGGTTCCCCTTCTCTCCCCCAGCCTGCCAGTGCCTCCGGAGGAGGCGGAGGAGCTGATCGGTGGGCCGTTGGTGGGTGCTGAGCACCCACTATTTTTTTTCCGTGGGTGCTCTACGGTGCTATGCTGGGGTTCACCCACCGCCCATGATCCTGAGCATGCTAATAATTGGTAAACGTTTCTTGACCAACCTTGATTCTAATGTGTAGAATTGCCAAGTCCTCGTTTCCAGTCAACAGCTTGACAGAATAGTGCTTGGGTGGGAATATGTCTCCGGCCGCACCTCTGAGGTTGTGCAGAAAGAAATATGGTAAAAGCTATGAACCAATAGCTAGGCCCAAATTAGCCTAAGCAAATGCTGTTTTGCCCTGTGTTACCACCTTTGCTGTTATGAGTCAGGTGTATGGCCTTCTAGGGAAAAAGAACATGTGATACTATTACAGTACAGGTATTCCATTAATCTGGATGCATATAAACTAGACTTGTCATTTTAAGCTTGTGTCACAAACCAACACACAAATGTTTAAAGTTAAACCAATTATCACAGGTTTTTGATCAAAAACTTCAGTTAAGACTCTTTCTAGCTGGGTTGCAGGCTGATGAAGACTTGCTCCCAATGTGTTTTGTAGGACTTCTGCTTTCCAGCCTAGTCACTATCTCCCTATGGTGTGCCTAAACAGTGTTATCTCATGAGTTAACAAAAGCCAAGAAACTTAGCTGTGCTTCTGCTCTTTAACACTTTTTCTACAATAACAAATTGAGTTAACCTAGAACTTAATTTGCTAGCTTTTTTGGTCAATTTCATGTTACCCTCACAGAAACTTAAGGTCTGTATGTGTCATCTTGCTGTGCGTAGTGTGTCCCAGCAGTAGAAGACACGTGACCCCCATACTGGCAAAGTTAGGCTTTCTACCCACACTCTGATGGTTGGCAGTTGCAACAGGATTACTTATCTTACAAGCTCTTTCTGGGTTTTTCAGTACTGTTTTATGTGAATTTTATATTTGAACATTTCATAGTGTGCATTTGAAAATCAGCTACTCTGACCACTTTCTGCTAGTGATCAGTAGTCACATTAGTTGTACTTTTCGCAGCTGGCTCAGAAATTCAGGTTTTTCCACTGTGTTAAATGCTGGCTAACAGTTCAGCATCACCTTTATTCCCACTCTTTTAGATTGCACAGCCAGGGACACCTTATTTTTATGTTGAACTGGATACTGGAGAGAAGCTGTTTCACTGTATTAAGAAAAATGTTCCCTTACACTTTGGAAGGTTTCTTTTTCCTCCTATTTAACTTTATCATGGTTAGCATAATAAAATATACACTTGATATACCCATACAGAAGTTCAGAGGGGAGCTGGGCAACTTAGGGTGTTGGCCTAGAAAAATGAGCAATTACTAACTTAAAGTAATATTTTAGTGAAATAACATTAAGCTCTTAAGAGTTTATTTCATCTGTAGATCTCAGTCACTTACAAAACAGGAATAACTATTTAAAGATGAGGAAACTGAGGGCCTGAAATGAAGTCACTTGGGCAAGGTCAGGCAGCAGCATGGTGGCAGAACAAAGAATAGAACATAAATGTCCTGACTCTCAGGCCTAGTCTACACTAAGATATGCAACTTCAGCTACGAGAATAGCGTAGCTGAAGTCGATGTATCTTAGATTGACTTAGAATCACTTACTTCGTGTCCTCGCGGTGCGGGATCTATGGCCACCGCTCCCCCGTCGACTTTGATTCCGCCTCTTGCCGAGCTGGAGTTCAGCAGTCCATGGTAGAGCGATCGGGGATCGATTTATCGCGTCTACACTACATGCGATAAATCGATCCCCGATAGATCGATCACTACCCGCCAATCCGGCGGGTAGTGTAGACGTACGCTCAGTCTTGTGCTTTAACCAGAAGACCCTCCATTCTTTCTCTTCTCCGTTTGAGGAATGAGGCCTGGAGTTTTATATTTGTTTGCAAAGATTCCATGTACTTCCAGTTAATTATGTGTTAGCTACATAGCCACCTTCAGATAATAAAATCATAGTACTTAAAATGAAGAGGTTAACATAGCGATGCAAAATCATGTATGTATGACATTCCGTATAAGGTAATGCTCTGTTTACATTGATTTTACGTTTTATTTTCTGTAGTA